GGGTCAAGAAGGGAGCTGGGCTCAGATGGCTCATACCTGTAATCCTAGCTACTCAGGAGGCAGGGATCAGGAGGATTTCAGTTCAAAGTCAATCCTGGTAAGTAGCTCCCGAGACCACCCTATCTTAAAAAAATCCCATCACAAAAAAAAGGGCTGGCAGAGTGGCTCAGGCAGTAATAGTGCCTGCCTAGCAAGCGTGAGGCCCTTAGTTCAACCCCCAGTGCTGACCAAAAAAAAAAAAAATGGAATTGAGGACTGTAAGTGATGGGTGAAGGATAGTGTTTTGAAGACTGGAGACACTAGAGGTGTTTAAATGTTGATGGAAGACATGAAGGAGACTGTAGAAAGGGAGAGGGAGAGGACAGAAGAGGAGAAAAGGGATGAGGGCCTCTGGGAAGGGGAAGAGGTGAGTGCAGTCTGCGCAGGGCTAAGCCTGGCTAGCAGGTATCTCTTCCTTCCTTGAGTGGATGGTAAGAAGTACCTGTGGAGTCAATGTGTGAAACCGCAGAGAGGGGACACAGGCTGAGTGAGTTCCTGTCTGAAGACTGCCTGTTTCTCAATGAAGCAAGAGGCAGAGCCATTGCTCAGTGCCTCTGAGGGTCAAAGGTTGGGGATACAGCAGGGAAAGTCCCCAGTGTTGCTGTTCGGAGGGACACCTCACTCCCTTGGCACTCATGTCAAGGATTTTCATTGCTACAGGGTCAATATCAGAGTCTGAATCCGGCACTCAGTCTGAAGACCCAAGGCCAGGCCGCCTCTGCCTGCCACAGAAGAGGCTCCATCTTGCTGAGGTAGACTCCCACTGCCCAAGTTCAGAAGCTTGATATGTAAGCCCAGGAATGCCCATGCAAACCAAGGACAAACTGACCTGTCCATGTAACTAGCAAGTTCACAATTTACAGAAGACCTACAAGAGATCATAATTAAAAAGATTTTAATCTGAACGGTTAAAGTTTAATGGCCACACACTCCCTTTCCTAGGTGTGGTGCCTTTGCCTAACTCTGACTCTTTTCTCTGCCTCTAGGGCTAGCCAATCCCAGTGGATGGCCATTTTCTCCTTTTAGATATGCTAGAAAATTCAATCAGACTGAGGTCTCTCTCCTTCGCCTGGAGCCATTCTGTCCCTTCAGGAAGGTGCCTCTGTCTATCTCTGGGCTCATCTACTCTGGGTAGTGCAGCCACAGCCCCCAGGGCTGCACACTGCAGCACAGAACTGGGCAGAGTGAGTACAGCCACCTCACAGGCTCCACAAGGGGACGAGCCTAGGCCCCAGAGAGCGGGGAGCTGAATCTGTGCTGCTACACAGAGTGTGAACTCACTAGAAATGGCAGATTGGAAACTCACTTGACAGCTACCTAGCAAGTACCTATTCAAAGCGGTCACAGGACAATATGTAAATGAACAGGTGTGGCTGTGTTCCAACCCTACTTGATTTACAAAAGTGAGCAGCTAGCCGCAGGCTGTGTTATGCCCGCTGCCCTCATTCCCCAGTTTCCCCTCCCCATCTGCCTTCTGTAAGCACCCGGCTCAGCCAGGTACATCTGCAAAGGAGTGACCACCCAAGGGCTTTCCCCCCAAGTCTGGTGCATCCCAGTTTCTGCGAAATTCCTTCCCAGTCTGCTGTAACTGCTGGATTGAACAGACTGAGCAGGCATAAGGGAGAGAGGCAGAGTGGGAGCTAGCCTGGGTTTCCAGAGACTTCCAGGAATTTACATATACATAATACTGGATCCTTTCATGACTAAAACTTTCCTTTCAAGAGAATGGACTTTCTTTTTTTTTAATGGCCTGGGGGCTGAGAGTGTAGCTGAGTGGCAGAACTCCTGCCTAGGCTTGATCGCTAGCATCTGGGGGGAGGGGGAGGAAGACAAAAAGAAAAAAAATGGCCCAAATATCCTCCTGAGAGGGGCAGGTGCTTAGGAGACTGCCCTAGTTGGGCGCCTACAGCTATGCCTGTGGGTACATGGCATTAAGCACTGGATTCCAGCTTCTGGGGGACAGGATCCATGTCCCCATCTCTCCTCTCCCCTCTACGCCTTACACAGAGCAGGGGCTCAATGAACTCCTCAGGTCTTAGCTAGTCTCTGATTGACCAATCATAGGTCTTTTTCTTTTTGCTACACTTATAAACAACAAAATCAAAATCTTTGTTAGAACAAAACCAAAAAGTAAACTTTAAAAAATCAGAGCAATCTCCTGAGAGAAAAGTCTCTCTGTGGTGATGAGCACGGACCTGTCCTGCTGAGGAGGGAAGAGCCGGCTGTCCAGTTCCCACTGCACATGGCTGATGCTTGTCTTCGATTTCTAGGAAGAGATTGGTATCCCCTTCGTGGTAGGAATAATTAAGACTATTTACAGATCTTTTCTGTGGACTCCAGGCTCAGTTGAGGGGGCAGCAGGGCTTCTGGATTTATACATTCCAGCCTCTGCTTCCAGAAAATCTGATGCAGAACACACCAGCCCTGTTTAAGGGCTGTATGGATAGAAGAAAATGTGATTGTCTCCTAAAAAGCAGTCTGCCAAAAACTGACCTCAAGAAGTCTAAAATAATGACAAATTCAACCAAGACTACTTCCCAATTTAGGAAGAAAAATACTGCTAATTCAGTAACTTAAATTGGCTTAAACATTTCAAGAGTGTCAAATATCCACTGATTTGTAAGATCACTGGACTACAGGACCCCAGCCCTGGCTCAGACAGGAGCAAAAACACGCAGGATCCTACAGCTTGTTTCACACTTAGATGCCAGGGCCTTCAGTCAAATGTAGGCAGTATAAGGCTGGCAGGTGCCACCATGGATGAGGCCCTGGGTTCCATCTCCAACACTCAAGGGGGAAAAAAGTGATGGCAGAGACCAGGATGCATTTATGGTTCTGTCCTGGAAGCCAACATGGCGCCTGGTACAGAAGGTGCTCATTAATAAATATAAGTTGAGTTGCCACGCTCCCCTGCTTGGCCACCGGCCCTCTCATCTTTGCTTTAAAAATCATAATAGGCCGGGCACCAGTGGCTCACACCTGTACTTCTAGGTATTCAGGAGGAAGAGATTAGGAGGATCAAGGTTCAAAGCCAGCCTGGAGCAAATAGTACTATCTTGAAAAAACCCAACACAAGAAAGGGCTGGTGGAATGGTTCAAGGTGTAGGCCCTGAGTTCAAACCCCAGTACTGCCAAAAAAAAAAGATTTAATAGTAATAAATAAATATGTGCTGGGTAAAGCTGGTAATAGGACTCCTTCCAGGCTAGGTAAAGAATCTATGGTCTGGGGTTTCTGGAAAATCTGCTTTTATTTTTTGCACTGTTTGAATTTTTTGCACGTTTATTTTTTAAGGGTTCCTTTGAAAAAATATTATTTATAACAAAAATACCTAAGATAATCTAAATCATATTAGATCAAAATAATCATTCTACTTTATTTAATACATTTAGATTACAAAAATTTATTCTGTAAGATCAAATAAATTGTGTCTGTTGTCTTAGTAACAGTGTGCCTTTGGGCTGCCTAGCTAGCATGAGGCCCTGAGTTTAAAACTCAGTGTCACCAAAATAAATAAATAAAAATAACAATGCGTCTTAAATGATTTTTGTTAAAGTGAAAATCCTAATTGTACGCATCTATTTAGCACGTCACAGGTGACACACACTATTCAGAGTGCCTTCTACATATAAATGCACACAATCTTCTTAACAAGTCTGTTTGAGGTAGGAATAGTGGCTCACTTTACAGAAGAAACAAGCACAGAGAGAATCAACCCTGCATGCTGCTTCGCCTGTAAGGTAGAACTGTCTGGCTCCAGAGCCCAGGAGGTTAGCCAATCAAACATGTGCAATTCTAATGTCCTCAATTGGTTTAATAGATTGTCATCTGAAGAACTTTTAGCAAATAAATACTTGTTGAATGAATAAACAGAATCATCCCAGGGAAGCTCAGCCTGCCTCAAGGGGGGATTCGGGAGGAGAGAACACCCTCATTCACGTGATGGCCAGTCAAGGCCAGTGAGGAAGGGTCTGATGGGGCAGGACAGGAGTCCTGGGGTTTCCTCCAGCTGCTGGCACTGGAGGCCCAGTGGAGGGTCATCAGCGCCTCTGATTACCTGCAGTGTGGATTCTTTTCTGTCCTGTCACCAACAACTAGAACACTGCCTGATGCCTAGCGCTCACTAGGTGCTCTGTAGACGACCTAACTGAACGGATGAAATTGAGTGCTCTGCCCTAGGCCTGCTGGAGTGGGAGTCATGCAGACTCTCTGTGCCATGAACTTGACAACAGCCCTGTGAAGGCAGACTCACCAATATCCACAACTTACCTGCGGGCCTCCAGAGGGCTCCTGCACACTTTTATCAGAATGAGTCACTCTACAGTACCCATAGAAAGAGGCAGCTACCCCATGGCGAAAGGCATGTGACCCTGATGATATGCAAATGTATCGAAAAAAAGGCCTAAAGATAGGCCACACTGGGATCCCAACATAGTTCCAGTTCCCCTGAGGACAAGGCAGAGCCTTCTACAGTGACAAAGTCGCATCTCACTTGTGCAATTAAAAAGAAAACAATGGTAGAGCACTTGCCTAGCAAGGTGAGGCCCTGAGTTCAAACGCCAGTACCGCCAAAAAAAAAAAAAATGAGGGAGGGACAGTTAAATAACCTGTGCTCTACCACTTGAGCCACACCTCCAGTCCAGGTACTCTTGTTATTTAAAAAAGGTATGGGAGGGGCAAAGCAGTGATGGTAATTTTTTTTTTTTCTGAAAAATAGGCTTTTTGAGAGGCACACATTTGACACTGTTCCCCATGGTGGCGAGACACATCCACAGAGGTATCTGTGTGGGTTTTCTTGAGGGTTGAGGGGTGCACACTGTCTTAGGTTAGAATGCAGACATGAGGAAAGGGGCCCTTCAGAACCTCTTCTCCCAGGACTGCCCAGACTTAAGCTCTAGGGAATGCTCCCGCACCCACCCGCACCCAGGCCCTGCACCCAGGCCCGGCTCTGCCCAGCACGCACCTTGGATGGTTCTCTTGAAGAAGGCCTTGCAAGCCTCGCAGGAGGCCACGCCGTAGTGGTAGCCAGAGGCAATGTCCCCGCACACGAGGCACAGGCGCTTGGGGATGGCGTTGAGCATGTACTCGCACTTGATGGCCGAGTCCTCCATGATTCCGCTGGCACAGTCCTCGTAGCTCTTACGGCACGGGGTGCCTCCCAGCCCCGCACCTGCGAACATGGGCGGCGAGTCCAGACCGTTGGCGTGGGTGCCCAGGGCCATGCCAAAGCCACCGCTGGCGTCCGATGAGCCGCTGGGACTGTGGTGGCTGAGGGCATCAATGCCCGAGGACGGGCTGGACGGCTCGGTCTTGATAAAGGAGCCGCAGCTGGAGCCCAGGTGCCGGTCGTCTGCGGACATCCGGTTCAGCAGCCTGGGGACACAGAGCACAGGAGTGAGTCCCAGCAAAGTGGGAGGGCGGGGCCACGGCAGGGTGGGTGGGGCGCCTGCTGAGGCCTTTTGGGGAGATGCATGGTGGCCCAGAAGGCCAGTTGGTACAGCTCACACCAAGTTTCTACAACCTTGTGAGCCCTCCAAGAAACCTTGGATTGGTAAACTTCAGCTCAGACACCCCGTAGTTTGCAAATTGCTGGCCTGAGGGTGACACAAGACGGCAACTAAATATTTGGCTAACTTTTCTGCCTAAGAACGATACATAATGGCTACAATGTAACCGTTTCCGTGTGCAGAGCCCTGGGTCGGGCACTCTCAGTACAAGGACCCAATAACCCATTCGCAGTACCCTTCATCCAGGATGGTGACCCTGCTGAAGCATAAGGCAAGCCCAAGGTTGGTGCTTCCCTCAGTTCCTCACTGTCATCTGACCAGAGAGGCAGCTTGGAAAAGGCACCAGCTAGATCTACCACCCTTGGGTTTTGCGGCTGGTTAAGGATTGGTAATGGAGGGCAAATCGGGAGGGCGGCTCCCTGACCTCCTTTCAGGTCCTTCCTCCCTCTTTGCCAGGCCATCTTCCACCCAGTCTACCTCCCACCAAGGGGCTGCGCCTCCATCAGAATGCCCCAACCATGTGCGTGCACACCCCCCACCTGTTTGTCCTCTCCCTTCTTGCTTCCTTCCCTTCCTTTCTGAAAAATGGGGGTCTCTCTTGCCCAGGCTAGTCTCAAGCTCCTGGGCTCCACCACGAAGCTACACTGCAGCGCTTAACTTTAGCCTGGAACCTCCCTGGCTCACCAAAATGGTCTACTAGCCTCACCAATATGGCGGGTCACTGCGGGATAACAGCATGTTTCCTGGTAACCGGAAATCCCTCCTCCCAGAGCCATGCTGGGTAGCAGAGATTGCAGCTAGGATGTACCCCTCCCACAGCTCCTACAGTGAGAGTGGGAACTTGTCCCTATCTCAGCACGGAGAAGAAATGCAGCTGAGCTCACAGCAGGGAGCTTAAGTAAGATGTGTGTGCAGAGAACCCAGCTATCCAGAATCTGAGTCAGGAGGCCTGGGTAGGCTCCATACGCAGGTGGCCCCACTCTCTGGTCTGCCTCTCTCTATGGAGGGAGAGAGGAAATTGAGACTCATGCCCCGAGGTCCAGGTGAAAGGGGAAGAAAAAAAACTCTTGGAAAACAGTGCAAGCAGAAAGCCACCTCCTAGGCAGGAAGGAGGATCTCAGTGCTGGAGGGCCCACAGGGGAGCTTCCAGGATCCCTCCTCAGGTGTTATTCAGAGACAGTGGTAACCTGCTTCTTAGTCCCTTTTCTGGGCAGCCCACCGATGAAAAGACTGGGCACTCCTTGAAAAGGGGCTGCTTCATTACAGCCACAAAACCAACCCCACATCACAGTCCTTGGCCATACTCCAAGACCACAAAGGTGTCTGTGCAGTCTTCTGGTGGAGGGGCCTCCACAACCCTTGGTCCCACTAATGATTTCATGACCAATATACCTCGTAAGGTTGCCCCCTTTCTGCACTTGAATGTGTGCAGAGGTGGGAACCTCATACAGTTGTAATCACAACTTGGGAGCTGCGGAAACTTAAGATAAAAGACCACCCAAGGCTGCGGCTCTCAAGTTCACACTGCCTGGAATGTAGTGTGCAAGAGGTCGAGGCTCTAGGGCTCTTCAGTTTCAAAAGGAACCCTCTCCTGCAGGACCGTAGTCTCCCTTGCATTGGCAGAGGCGTTTGTCCCCACCCCCCACCCCCACCCCCACCCCATTGAAGGTCTCCTCCAGACCTTTTCACATCTCTGGTGCTCCATCATCTCCCTGGGCAATGCTATCCACTGTCCCTCCAACTGCTAGGGCTGTGTCCCCAGGAGATGCCATCAGCCTGGCAGGTCACCATCCAGAGGAAAATGTGGCTGAGCAGGCAGGAGTGTACTTCTGGCCTCCTCCTCAGATACCCTGCCATGAAGTAACATGAGGACAGCTGACCACATACCCTTGAATTTCCTGATCTCAGCCTCTCTAGTAACTAGGATTACAGATGTGAACCACTGGCACCAGGCAACTCTTAAGCTTTTATTCCTCTCTACTTCCCCTGATGGCTACTTTAGGTTCTGCTCTTTAAAGGACCATCCCAAATGCACAACGAAGTGCTACTGGGCCAGAACTCCCAGTCCCTGACCTCCATCCAGCCTTCCCTGGGCTCCAGAAAGTTCCAAAGATTTCATGAGCTACACTGTTTTAGGAGCATGTGCTATATGCCCCTTGCTTCATCTGTCCCTGGTGGTACAAGAAACATTTGCCCTGAGGGAAGCAGGTGGAGATACAGCCTCTCCAGGAGTGGGAGGCCACAGTTTTCCCAGCTGCCTTCCCAGCCCATTGAACTCTGACGGATACCCAGGGTGATGGTGGCTGTGTCCCCAAGCCTTGGTTTCCTTGCTAGCCCCCTCCTTTTTGATTCAGAAGGGCCCAAAGCATCTTTCTGGAGCTGCCCCCACAGCTACGCCCAGGCCCTAATTGGTGCCTCCAGGGCTCCATCTTAGCCTCAGTCAGAGTTGGCACAGGAAGTGCCTGCTAATTTAGCACCTGAACTCCTGCTGGGAGGGTAGGGGGTCTAATGAAGTCATTTCTAATTTCTGGGGTTTTTTTCTTCTTTCTTTCTTTGTTTTTTGAGACAGGTCTCACTATGTAGCTCAGGCTGGCCTTGAACATGTAATCTTTCTGCTTCAGCCTCCTGAGGCCGGGATTACAGGCATGAGCCACCAGCCAAGCTCAGCTTTCTCATTTCTGTAACCATTATATAAGGCCCATAGAATGTGTTTTCCAGAGACAGCACATATTTTGCATCTACTTTATGACAAGTGTCTTCCATCTGTTCTTGACCTCCACAACAACGTTCATTCACTCACTCACAGCAAAATGTAGAAGCACAGAGGGAAAGAAGCCTAAGAAGAGGATAGAGAAGTGGCCAGAGGAAATGGAGGAGAATTAAAACAGCCTAGGCTGGCATGGCCCTACATGCCTGTAATCCAGCACTTAAAAAGCAGAAACAGGAAGATAGCAAGTTGGAAGCCAGCCTGAGCTATATAACAAGAGTTTATCTCAAAAAACCAAAACAAAAACCCAGGTGCTTACTCAGGAGGCAGACATCAGGAGGATCCTGGTTTAAAGCCAGCCCCGGGCCAATAGTTCACCAAAAAAAAAAAATCCATCACAAAAAAAGGGCTGGCAGAATGGCTCAAGTGGTAAGAGCACCTTCTAGCAAGGGTGAGGTCCTGAATTCAAACTCCAACACTGTCAAAAAACCAAACCAAACAAACAAAAAAACACCACTACAACAAGAACTTATCACAAAAGTGTGATACACAGAGCCAAGGGGTGGAGGGAGTGAACAGCAGGTTGGATGTGGCTGCAAGATCAGAAGAGGCCAGTGTCCACAGCACTTAGTAATCAGGAGGTGGCCTGGCACTAGAGAACGGACAACTCTGCAATGGCTGGAGGAGGCAGTATATACAGACAGTTAGCTCGTCAGGAAGTTTACTGCCCAGGTTAAAGGAGGGGTGACAACAAGCGTGCCCGCACACTTCAGCAGTGCCAGCTCCCCTGTGAACAGGGGTGTGGGTGTGAGAAGGGGTGTTGTTACTGTGAGTCCTTGGGAGCTTGTGATGAGCAGGGAGTGTGTTGAAGATGTAAGGAATTTAAGGTATTTTAACATGACAGTATCCACACTTTCCCATTTGTCCTGGGCAATCCTAGTCCCATCTCCTGACCCAGTATCGTGACCCATCAGTCCCTCTTCCTCTCCCCAAAGCAGATAATAAATTCCAGGTTGAGGATCCCTCATCTGAAATGCTTGGGAAAAGAATTGTTGTGGATATGGAATTTCTTCCGATTTTGGAATGTTCGTATTCAAATAATGAGCTGTCTTCCTCTCCAAGATGTGTATATTTCATATACATCTCATCCACATAGCCTGGAGGTAATTTTATACAATTTTTTTCAGTGCTAGGAACTGAACCCAGAGCCTCGCACATGCTAGGCAAGCACTGTGTTACATCTTCAGCCCTACACAAATATCTTTGATAATCTTTTTTTTTTTTTGGCAGTACTGAAGTTTGAACTCAGGGCCTCATACTTGCAAAGCAGGCGCTCTGCCACTTGAACCACTCCTCCAGTTCTCTTTAATAATCTTGTGCATGAAACAAAGTTTGTGTACATTGAACCATCAGATTTGTGGTGTCATGGTGGCACTCAGAAGTTTCTGGATTTGGGGCTGAGGGTGTGGCTCAGTGGTAGAGCACTTGTCTAGCATGTGTGAAACACTGGGTTAGAGTCCCGTACTCCCAACAACAAAAAACAAGTTCAGATTTTGGAGCATTTTGGGTTTTGAATTTTCAGATCAAAGATGCTCTATTTGTCACTCTATGCTAAACGCTGGTAGTGAAGAGGAAAGTCAAGAAGAGAAGGCTAGAGATAGAAAAGATCAATGTTAGCTTTATTCAAACTGCAGTTCAGCCTTCCTAGGGATCAGCTAAGCAGCTTTTTTTTTTTTTTTTTTTTTTTTGTGGTTCTGGGACTTGAATTCAGGGCCTTCACCTTGAGCCCTTTTTTGTGAAGGGTTCTTCAAGATAGGGTTTCATGGAACTATTTGCCTGGCTGCCTTCCAACCATGATCCTCCTGATCTCTGCCTCCTGAGTAGCTAGGATTACAGGAGTGAGCCACTGGCGTCCAGCCTGGTAAGCAGCTTGAACAGGGAATTTCAAGCTTCCCCTGGGTTGAGGCGGGGGTGGGGTGGGGTGGAGGAGTGTGGTCATTTGATTTTGTTTGGAGCAGCCCATTTGGGATTCCTATGGGCATTAAGCTGGAGCACCACTGAAGTTGTGGGAGGATCAAGTAGGAGACTGAAAGGCATCTGGGATACGAAGGGGGAAGGCCAGCCATGCAGATGGGAAGTTAGTAGGAGGCATGGGGGGAGTTGAGTGGGGTCCTCTTTAC